AAAAAAATAACTTTCTGTGATCAAACTATATACAGGAGAAAGTAAATGTGGCAACTAAAATGCTGTATCCCCTAATCAATAGACGCTCAAGCTTAAGCGATGAAAATAAATTAGTAATTTACAAGTCAATTTTTCAGTCAATAATATTATATGCCTGTCCAGCCTGGAGCAACATGGCTAAGTTCCAGGTTAAAAAATTACAAATCCGTCAAAATAAAATTCTAAAAATGATGCTGCGACTGCCATGGGATTGCTCCACCAGGAAGCTTCACGATGAGTCAAAAATTAAAATATTATCAGATCAAATATGAAATATTTAAAATTCGTTGCAGTTTTTCTGAAAACATGTTAATATCTGAACTTTTTTCGTATTAAACTGGTGCAGGTACTTAAATGCGTACATATCAACACTAGCTTGTAAGATTTAAAGTGGAGGTTTTTCATAGTAGTTTTTTCCTTCGAAAAAATCGTTTTTTAAAAACTAAAACTTGTGATAAAAATATAAATATAATGATGTAGAATTAAGGTTTATACCATATTCTGTAAATTGTGCGATAACATAAATATTGTAACTTTTTTTCTACTTAATAAATAAATGAATATAAATAGCTTATGACCTACAGTGGAAAATAGGCTAATTTTTTGGAAGAGCTGCAACCTGTTAAAAAAGTTTAATTAATTTAATACGCGGAAACGACTAAACGGATTTGCATGAAATTTTGCACACAGATAGCTTATGACCTAGGTTATAAAGTAGGCTACTTTTTTAAGAGTTGCCACCTGTTAGAAATGTTTAATTTAATTAATACGCGGAAATGAGTGAACTGATTTGCACGGAAGTTTTCACACAGATAGCTTATGAGCTAGGTTGAAAAATAGGCTACTTTTTTAAGAGTTACCACCTGCTAAAAAAATTTAATTAAATTAATACGCAGAAACGACTGAAAAGAGTTGCATGACATTTCGCACAGAGATAGCTTATGACCAATGCTGGAAAATAGGCTACTATTTTAAGAGTTATCACGTATTAGGAAAGTTTAATTAAATTAATACGTGGAAATGACTGAACTGATTTGCATGAAAGTTTGCACACAGATACTTTTTTAAGAATTGCCACCTGTTTGAAAATGAAATTTTGCTCAAGGATGGTTTATGACCTGAATTGAAAAATAGGCTACTTCCTTAACCGGTTTTCCGATCAGAACGAAATTTAGTACACTTACTACGGATTTCGGAAGGATGGTCTTAGACTGAAAGTAAGTCCGATAACTCAAGGCCCCTCCCATACAAATTGGAATTTTCATATTACATACATATCTCTGGAAGTATTTGTGGAAGAGAACTGATACTTGGTATAGTGATATGTATGTGAAATCAATGTTGGTTTTAATTAGTTAGTTAATTCGATTAAATTCAATCTGATTACAGTTAATTTACTCTTAATTTGATCAAGTAGGTTTGGTGATTAATTAAGTTATGCTGGAATTTCCCTGTGCACACAAAGCAAGTTAATCCGGTATGGCTAAGTCGGGTTTCCTCATCAATCTTAGCAATTTGGTGTGCATTTTCATTAAGATATATACCAACAAACGTTTTACAAACTAGGTTTGTAAAAGTTCCCAGTTTATGTATTA